ATTTTTGTTTGTCTCAGCTCTCTTGCTCTGTTAGATGTGTCAGCAGGGACAGCTGAAACGACAACTCCTCCTGAGCCCTGCTGTCTGCTGGGAATCTGTCATGTTCACTGGAGAGTTAAAAATTGCAGCACTCGCTGCTCACAGATGTGACCTGCGTTTCTCTTCACTCTCTTCTTTCCTCAGGAATTCCCAGAATCACCGAGATAGTATTTAACCTTAGTTAAACCTAATTTTCTACACTCTTTGTATTTGTATGACAGAAAAAAAACCTCAGCAATTAGTAGAGTTATTTGACTTGTATAACAAAAAATACATAAACACAAATATTCATAAGTGAATGTATATGCGACAATTTTCTAATATATGTTTTGCTTCAGTTAATTACATCCTCATTACAGTGATGAAACAGTCAGCCATTAGAAATGTTTAGACACAGCCTCAGGATGCATTAAGCTGCTAGAAATGCATTACCACATCTGTCGATCAACACTGTCAATCTGTCTGACCTCACATCACTTTCCATTAACTCCCTTAAGCCCTTTCACCCACTCCCTGACGCACACAGACACATGCACGCGTACACCCTCCTCTGTCTCACCACCCCCATCTCAGAGATGCTATCCTTTTCACTCGGTTACTCGAATCCTCACTAAAGCTGTTCAATTAAACCATCAGTAAGTGGAACTTAAGCCTCCATTGGACAGCTGGCCAACAGTTGCACATAATACAACTGTGGTCATTCTCTGCAGCCATGTATACACTGCTCTAACAATCTCCACTTGCCACAAATGACATTGTCCTGGCTTGATGCCCACGGATAATCTTTCTTAAGTTAACAATAAGGGATGTAATCAGAAGAAGGCTGAGCTAGAGCGAGATGAATCTGTGACTTAATATTCATGAGTATAGGTCATTTTGCGTACCCCGCTTGAAGGACTCATTGCTTTAAGATATGAAACCCATGTTTAATGGCAGATTTGAAAGGAATCCTTATCTGGAGAGGATCTCTGCAGCAGTCCCTACAGAGTGCAGCAGAAAGCCAGTGCTTGCTAAACTAGCTTAGACAGATTTGGCTTAGCACCCTGCAGCAACTCTCAATGTGCCAATCCCAGTTCGATGGAGGTACCCAGACTTCCCCTGAGAGCAAATAAGTGAAAGGACAGCAAGAGACCTCTGTGGTGACAAATGTCAAATTTGGGAATCCTTTTCCCCTTGCAAAGCCTAAGGGCGTTCTTTGTGTTTGGTCTAGGCTCACTGTGTAGAATTGATTCAGAGAGCGAGTGCCTATTTTTAGAGCTAATGCTGCTGTTGTGGTGAAGGATCACTGCTCATGACTGTACCCCCACAGTACCTCTGTGGTCAGAGTAGTTTTCTAACGCTCTGTCGATTACAGTAGTTGTCTTCCCCTGTCTGTCATTGTGCTCCTTAGTTGCAGTATGTGGGGCTATAGTCTGGGAGTTGTCTGAGCAAACACTCCTGTGCGACCAGGACGGACCACTGAGGCTTCATTATAGTATGGCACCACTGATTGCCAACACTTCTTGCCAGTCGGGGCTGCAAGGAGGAACAGAATAAAACCAATACTTTTAATTGTGCTGCAGCTTTTTTTTTTGTATCTGTAATAAGGGAGGTAGGATTGTCAATAAGTGGGATACGTTTCTGCAGCTTATTCTTACAGCTATTTTCTTGTGTTGGGCTACATAATGAATGTGAATCTGAACATTGTTGATGTTTTCTGTCTGCACACTCCTTCGAGCATTGTTGGTATTTGTGAATTTTGCTCCGCTGTAGTCGTGATCAGAGAAACACACATGTTCGGCTGTATATCTCTAGCTGTTCTCTCCTCTTCCTCCCCCGCACATAGAATGAAGTGCAGGACCCTATTGGGGCTCTGTATTCACTCACAGTGATTGAGTGTCTGAGAGGGATTTTAGCTGCTCAGTAGATTTTTGGATAACCACAAATCAGGCACTTAATCAAAGCAAGGAGATGAAGGCCACGACACAAGGGAGGACATTGTTATAATATGTGAAGTGGGAGGAGATGGATTTCTTTCCTTTACAGTGGGATTTGTTCAGCTCTGCTATCTTAACAACCAGCTACTGAGTCCAGCACAAACAATGGGGACTGATAGGATTTTGTTAAGTATTGTTCACTTCTTCTTTCCCACTGCATTGATATAAAAATTACTTTTATTGTAAAAAAAACATGGCATGCCATTGGGTTGAGCAAATTCTGAGTCACCCTACTGTGTGCACCCTAAACACAGTGTCACTAATTAGCAATTTAACAGCGGCACTCTAAGGCATTATGTAAAGATCAGACTTTCTTATTTTTAGTTCAGCATCCTTTATGACTGATTTATCTTGTGACTAACAATGAAAAGAGGTTCATTCCAAATTTGCCCCAGCAGACTCTGATGAATGAACACAAAGCAGCTCATAGTTCAGTCCAGTATTCGCTCCATTATGGTGTTGAGAAAAAAAAATCCTGATTAAAGTGCATGTACGCTGAATGAGATAAGAAATGTGAATCACATTTGCTCAGACTGACTTTAACTCTGGGTTCACAGGCAGGCCAGTAGGCAACGTGTCTGCAGTGTAATTTGTATATGTCATGAAAGTGAAAACTTCAATGAAATGAAATGTAATGGAATAAACACACTGATACTTTGTAGAGCATGTGTCACATAGATGAAAGACACCCCCCCCTTTTCAGCAATGGCATGACTGCACTGTAGGAGTGTTACATGTTGAGTGGGCACATGTGGAACAAGATTGCAGGTTTCTAATGAAAGAGATATAAAAGGTTTCACTAATCATCTTTTCACTTGACAGCAGTAGGTGTAGTCCCTTCAAATTTGCTCACAGTGAACGCCTGAAAACATTGTGATTTCTTCTAGAGAACCATACATGTCATCATGCAGCGATAAGGTGTCAGTCATCTTTAATGATCGTCTCTTCTGTTTATCTGGTCTTTTGGTCCTTTTTTTCCCTTTTCCAGATATAGTCAAAGGGAAATGAAATGCATGCTGTCAATCTGAAGAAAGTTGGCAGATGTGCCTGTTGTGAATTATTAAATCATGGTAAGTGTGACGGGCATGGTTTATTGGATTGAGCATATTTGTTGCTCACTCTGTTGGCATATTTTTATAGCAGTTTATAGCTCCCAGTGTATTTATTAATTATAAGGCTTCAGTGCATGTGTTGTTGTTTTTATTTTAGACAGGACTGGTGCAATGTGGTTTCCACGTGAAAAATGGTTGTTCTATAAATTAATTTAGGTGATGGATCACTTGTCTGTCGGATTATGCATGCCTGTATTGATTACCGTACCTTGCATTGCACACCAGTCAATAAATGTGTAGATTTTCAGTCGCAGATAAATCACGGGTCAACAAAAGACTTATATGTTCTAGTAATGACAAGAAATCAGTCATCATATGGTTTCGGTAGTCATGAGAAGATGTGGCAGGATAGAAAAAGCCCAAACAAAATACTGTAGGACGAAGGTTATATTAGCTGGGGCTGTGGCAGTTTTGTCAGGCTTGTTATGTGGGCTTAGCCAAGACTGACACTGTATCTATGCAGCTTGAACTCCAGTCCCTGGCCTCTCCCACTTCTCAATACCGTCCCCATGTTACGACTCCAGGGGGCGTGGATCGTGGCATCACGTTTTCACTGCGCTGGCAGTGAATGCATGGCCTGTAACTCGTGGTAAAGTGAGGCCAGGTCAGACTCTCATGCTCAACTGCTTTGTCAAAATGAGAAGAGAGAGTTGGTGGAGGGAATGGCATCAGCCCCAAATGTGTTCCCCACCCTGACCTAAAGTGTAGGACATGACCTTGCAGCCCATCGATCTTGCCTGTATGTGGCTTCTGCTGTTGTTGAGATTGGTAAGCAGTCACACATGATGTTGACACTAGGGCATCAAACTAATAGCGCATTTGAAAAGGTCGTCTTGAGCTTGGCTTCTCTGCTCTATGCTCACAGTTTGAAATTCAAATCAGATTTCAGTTGAATTAAACCACCTTTCCCCTCAGGCTTCTATTTAAGTCCAGGAGACCAAAAGGTCATGGCTCTAAGAATAGGGCTGTCAGTTAGCAACAGCCTGTTTGCTGGATTCCTGTGATGGAGGCTGCTTCTTCCACTGCTTTACTATACATGCCTGCTCCTGATGGCATCTCCTTTTAATTATCTCCTTGGCACACTAGCTGGTCCACTCAGATAAGCTTCAGTATTATATTACAGGGAGCATGTGTCTCATCTACTGTCTCTTCAATCTGTAGCCACTGTTGCGTTTAGTCCAATTACTGTGGTGTTGACTTTCAACCCCCAACCACGATCATATTTTTTACTATTCATGCTTACCTGCACTTACTCAGAATGCTTTTAGTGTTCATCAGATCAGTGTCTAATAGCCAGTAATAACAGATGTAAAACAGAATACAGGAGCTGTATTCTGCAGCTTTAATTATTCCATTACTCAGTGTAGGAATACGCAAAATTAAATAATTTGTTGACTTGCTGTATTGTAGTCATGGAACAAGGAATAAAGCATTATAGATAAAAACCACAGCATCCCAGTTATGTCTGACAGTTCAGCCTTGGATATATATTGTCACAGACAAAGTTACATAATGAATATTTCATGGGCAGTTGAACAGACCCACGTGAGAGCCCCTTTTTCTGGGACCAAAGGCTATTGCAAAGTCCTGACCAGGGAGCATTCAGCTTCCCCCCTCTTTTCTTCGGACAGAATAAACTTTATTAAATCACACTGCAGGGCAACAGACGGACAAAGAGGAGCACAAAAACATGCACTACCCTTTTTGAAGGGAGCTGCTGTAAACACAACAGATTTCAATGCCTTGCTCTCTCACGCTGTAGCACTCTGAATTTTTCTCCTCATAGCTTCTCGTCATATCCCTCCCACCACATTGCCTCCCTCTCTCTCTCCTCCCATCTCTTGCCTGTGTGCACAGTGCCGCTTTACGCTGAGCGCAAGGCATACAGATGTAAGTTTAATCCAGGCAACAGTCAGAGCTGGGAAGTGAATATGGGGTTGCCCTTTTGCTAATGTGCAGTAGTATTCAGTAGAATTATTCAGCAGCCAGCACAACTGTCAAGGTGGATTCAGAAGGGAAGATGAAAACCTCCTGGAACCGTGTGTTCGTGTTTTATTCTCTCCATCTCTTTGTGTGGATCTATGCGTTTCCACTATTAAAGCTTGGCAGCGAGAGGTGTTATCTCTAGCACTGAGCTCAGCTTTAAAAGGAAATTTCAAGACTCTAAATCTGCCTGTCAGCCTCTGATGAGCCTCTGATTAAATGATAAAGCGAGGAGAGGAGGACACCCAGATGAATCAAGGAAAAACTTGTGGAAGAAAATTCATACAAGCGCTGCTTTTTTTGGACTCTGGTTTTTAAAAGATTTAGATTTTTCTTTTATTCATATCTTTGTACTGGACTTGTATTTTATCTGCAGTGATTGCACATTTTCTCACACCGGCTGAGGCAGAGATGCGGTAATGTTGTGCTTGGATTTGGACTTCCTTTGAGAGGATTTTGTTTTCACCTGATCAGCAGTCCTTCACTCTTTGAATGCATTCTGATTTGCCCTCCCACCCTTCTGCCCCTCGTTATTTTTTTTACTGAACATTGTGAGCTGCTCAGTCACTTCAGCGACTAGGCAGTGATTTCTAACAGAGGCACAGTGTGTGTGAGGTTGGATTCGGAGTAGTTGCGTCCGACAGACTGAATTGTCTTGTGCTTTGCAGAGGATCTTCAGACTTCTGACCTGTTTATTTAGGCAGAGGAGAGTTTGAATAAAGAGTATCTGCAATTGGGACAGCCAGCCAAAAGCCAGAATGCAGGTGTCATTAGTGTGCACGGACCATCGTGGGGGGGTGAGCCGCAACACGGAGGACCGGCTAAACCGACAGAATGCCAACAGCCCCAACACAGGCACCCGCAGCAAGTTCAGAGCAGTGGCAATGGTGGCCCGCAGTCTGGGACAACTCTCTGTTCAGAGTGTGCCTTCCTCCAGCGAGCAAAGCATGAAGACTGGCATGAAGTATAGGTAGGGCATGTCTGATGTGTTACCTGCTAGTTACAAATTTGGCCCAAAAAAACTTTCAGACCTATGTAAAATATGTGAGCTGATCGAACTGCAAGGTTTGTCTCCCTTATTTGGCTCAAGCTGCAATACATCACAGAGAAGACAGACCATTTTTCCACTTTGCTATTAATGTCAGTTTTTCTTACCTACTCAGAAGTCCCAAACCCCACTTGTTTACGATAAATGACGGCTAACAATTAAATTGCAAATAAATTACAGGAACTAATCAGTTAACCTCCCTAAACTTTTATTTACCTTTCACTTTTTATGATATGGGACCTCAAAAACAGCAACTTCTCCAAAGGAAAAATTAGCAATTTGTAATTTTATCAGATCTTTGTACGTCATTGGTAAAACTGAGAGGTTGGCATGTAATAAATTAAGTTAGCGGCCATTGATGTCTAATCTGCTCTGTGCTGTAATGACAAACAAGCACTCCAAACAGTATAGTAAGCTGCATTTGTTCAGCTTTAAAGTGGAAACTAATTAGTTGGTTCCCAGATTATTCTCCTAAATGCAAAAACACTATTATCATAAAACACATGTTTGCCCTATAGTGATAATCCTTCCCTTTTGAATTTTCTTCTAACGTGAGTTTATTTAGAATATTATCACTGTTCTTTTGTTGAACTTACTGCAGAAATATTCCAATCAGATATATTTCTAATCATTGAATCAAAAGCTATATAAAGTCAGTTAATACTTTTTTGCCATATTACGAGAGTGTCCCTGAAATGCTGTGATATCAAACACTTTGCATAATTATAGCTTTTGCCTACAACATTGTATGTTGACATGATGCTGCATTGAATATTTATGCCATCCCTTCAATCAGTTGATTACTGATTACGGGTCTATTGTAGTATTTACAGTTGCTTTCATTCTGACATCGTGGATGAAAGCAGTAGTATTTTGTTTGAGGGAAATGTTTTCGCCTTGGGACTAGAAACCCCAAGGGACAAGAAGACTAATGATGACTGGGTTTTATCTACCATACCCCATATTTAACAATTAGCTAAAGGTTTTACTTTCAGAAAAGCATTTATAACAAAATGGAAATGTCTACTGTTTGTGTGGTGAATTATTCAGATTATCCCAGCTTTTACACAAGAGCTGAAAATGCAGCAGATTATAAAGTGGGCTATCTTTAAATGCATATTGAAGCACTGACAGTAGAGGAGTGCATGGCAAATTGAACAGCAGAAACACAAAATGTATAGACAGTGTTGGTCAGAAAATCACTTTTCATCGTTGTAAGGTACAGTATATTATGATGTGCAACAAGCTGGTGATTAGTGCGGTGTATCTTTTTTGTATTGCAGGCTGTCAATGATGACCTGCTCTCTGCATGTTTTCACACCTGTCATTCAACTGTTCACCAAAGTCGATTGTTTGACATGAAATACTGATTTGAAATTAAGTTTTCACCAAAAACATGCATCCATGTAGTATATTGTAGCACAGCTGCAGCCATACATATTGTAAGTTATATTTCACACATATTGATTATTATTGTAACAGCCTTACATGTTACTAGCATTGGTTTGAGTAGCAAAGTGTTACCAGTTGTATTTTTGTGATAGAAAATTAGAAACTGAACATACAAACTAAAAACTATCTAGATAGGGATGTTCACGAGTTTCATTGTAGTTGCTTATATTTTCTGCTCTTTTACCAAACAGGATTATCAGTTATCATCATTACTTTGTAGTTTTCTTTATGGACTTACCATTCATGTGGTAAATTACTTAATTTCTGATAGAACCGTTCATCAAGCCACAAACCGTGAAAAGAAAAACTACAAGATGAGGTTGGTTGTGCCTTAAATCAGAATCTATTATTTATTTATTTATTTATTTTTGGGTGAAAAATTTGTTGTGTGTCGACTGTTGACAGACCCAATTAAGATTGGGCATTGATTTGAGGAAACGCATTACCCATCCTTAGCACTGTTGTCTGAAGGCACATCACAATGCTTTGCAGCTGATTTGCTAACGGCAGCCTCGCCATGTTGGCACACTGTCATTATTGAGGCTAATGATATTGAATGAGTAAAATCATTTTCAGCTTGGACGGCCAGCGGCTGTTTGTGTTCTTCGCTTCCTCAGTGTAGTCCAAAGCACATAACAGGCTCTGTGTTTGTATGTCTGATGTAAGCTCAAGGTAATGCAGGCCTAAATGCAGCGTGCGGCTCAGAGATGCATGCACCGAGGGTACAACATTGTGTTTTGTGGTTTTGAAGAGATGCGGATAAAAGGGAAGGAAGGAGAGAGTGAAAATAAGAAAGGCAGAGTGCTAAGGTTAATGCTGGTGTAGGCACTATGCCCAAGAGGTACAGTAGGCTGGAGTGATCTGTGCGCATGTCACTGTGCATCTTTCAAATGTGCCTCTCTTGCAAGCACTTTAACATGGTCATGCAGTTCTCTTTCATCCTTGAGCACAGGATTTTTTTTTTTTTTTTTTGTTAAATTGAGTTTTGAGTTTTTCATTTTGCCACTTTGACAGCTGAAGGTTAGTGGTTTTATAACCGTTCCACAAAAGAATACAGTCAGAGCTTATCTATCCAACAAAACTTTCCACGATTATCCACACTGCAGAATAGCAGTGTGAAATTCAGGTCAGCATTATTTGCATACAGTCCTCTCTCTTTCCTTGAATGGCAGCCTTGAGCTTGAATTGTCAGTCAACATCTGTAGGCAAGGATGCAGGTTAGGTTTGGAAGTGACCTCCCCTACAAGGCTAAGGAAACCTTTTAAAATGAACATCTTTTCAAGGTACAGAGGGATTGCGGCAGCTTTAGTGGGCAGCCTCACCACAGAGAGTCGTTCTGTAATGTGACACTGGGCCTGCATGACATGACTGGTTAAAATCATAAAGCTTGACTGTGAGAGCCCGCACCTCCTCCAAGGAATCATTAAATGGCTTCAGTCAGGACTGAATTAATGATGCACACAAAATGGCTTATGATTATGTAAAGCAGTCTTGCTCAGGGAATGGAAGAATATCTGGGAGATTGGGAAGGCAGTTCAGGTGGGGAGTCAATCCCATAAAGCCCCTGCTTTTCACAGCCCGGTTATCAGCTCTTCTCTCAGGCAACCAAACCTAGGAAGGGTCTCGAGGGTCTCGACTTACTTTTACAAGAGCCAGTTTTATTTTCTTAGGCGCAGCGAATAAACTGCTGCAAAGTATTGCTGAGGTGAATAAGTTGGAATACGTATCACTTTTCATTTGGACTGCCATTTTTTGTGCTTTGTGGGGACTAAATATAGGAGCTCACTATAAACTGCTATGGATAACATTTGTGCTTCAGGAGGAGATTTTTTTTTTTTGTCAAAGCATGATATTTGTTTTTTGCCACAGTTTGTATCCGCTGCAAAACATTTCTGCTGTGTTGCACTCAGTATCTTTTACTGCAGTGGCCATGTAAATCAGAGCTGACTCACCTCCCACCCTGGTGTAAATCTACAAGTAAACTCGCCCCAGCCCAGACTGTCAGTAGGATTCCTCACATCTCTGGAGGTCCACTTTTGGTTGTAAAGTTGACAGTGAGTCACAGCCACAGTAAATAGCTACTGGCAGTGTTGTGTAAGTGGATGACATTTAAATCCCACCACTGTGTTGTGTGAAGTTGTGATGTATCATTATCAAAGACAGAGATAAGATGCTACTTAAAGAAACCCGTCCTACCAATTCTGTTTTCATTTAGCTCCCCTAGAAGTTACTTGATGTGACAGATGGCAGAATTTATAAAGACAGATATAGGAGATGATTTACAAATTAAACTTGCAACATGTACACATCAGCATTCAGGTTTAATGTTTCTTTATTGTATTATTTGCTATTTTTAATTGTAGAAAGAAAATCGATTTGGTGAAAAAAAAACAGTGGGAACCGTTTTCATCCTCTGGAATTATTTAAAAAGGATGAAACTGAGCACAGTGTTTTCCAGTATTTTGTTACACATTAAGCAAAAGCATGCATCGCTCAGGCTTGGGTGACAAAAGCTGTGGGTGTGAGATTTGGGGCGTCGTGAGTGTGGGTGCACGCTGGGACGTTTTCCTACATTCTGAGTGCTCTTCATCAGGGAGCCAGCTTTCCGCAGCCTGCACTCCCCCTTAAAATATGAATCATAAATAGGCCGTGGTAGTTGAACAAAGCACACATACAGCAGTACACACTGGCCACTCTGATGTAAATAGTAAGACTCATCCACAGCACAGATTTCAGGCCGCAGCAGCCACTTAGGTATCATCTTAAATGTGCACAGAACATTCGCCATCTGTTTGCTCTGGGCATGTGCAGGGAAATTGCCAAACGGTGGGATGGTTCATTTATTGATGCAGTCTTGTGTTTCACTGAATGCACTGAGGTTTTTGTCTGTGTTGGTGTATAAGTAAGATGGAGGGGGGGTTGTTGTGGAATATTTTGCCTATGTGTCTATAAGCGTGTCTGCATGTGAGAGACACTTGTGTTATGTTGAAGGAGAAAATAAGACAGCTGTTCTTTCTTTGCCTCACTGATAGAGTTTAATTAGAGCCTGTGTGTGTGTGTGTGTGTGTGTGTGTGTGTGTGTGTGTGTGTGTGTGTGTGTGTGTGTGTGTGTGTGTGTGTTAGCACCACTCATTTCTCTCTGCATGTTATTTTCTTAAATGCTCTAGAAATAGCCTAGATTTATTAATTCTGTCGTGCACTGCCAAGAAAAGGCGAGTCATTTAATCACTCCATATCTGAATTGTAGTCAGTCAGTTTATACTGTTTCATAATGTATGTGTGCAGGAATTTAATTTAAGCGTTTGCATTGCTGGGTTACACTTACACGTGATTATTGGGCTCAGTATAGCATTCAGATCTATAAACACAGGAAAGATGCCACACTGGACTGTTATTTAGCATACAGTAAGCAGAAGGGTTTAGATTTATAAATAAGTGCTGAATCAACAGACTTGCTTTGATAGCAACAT